AAGTTGTGGATAGTCATGATCGGCCAAGTCCTGAAAGGATACGACACATAGAAGAACTAAAGGGGGAGGATTTTTACTACACCTCGTGATATTTTTTCTGTTAGAGTCACGTTATGCGAAACTAAATTAGGCTAAATAAATCATAACTCTAGATATTTTAAATTAAATAAGTTCTTATAGCAATGTGAATAAAACAAAATGTATAGTTAAGAAATATACATTTTACAAACTTTATATATTATGAAATGGACTAATTATTTAAATATATTTTCTGTTTATACGTTATTTTTTAAGATACAATCATTTAAATAAATGCTCTGTTAATATAATTTTTATAATGTTTATATTTATATAATAAACAGTATTAATTACATTCAGGCCGACAAATGTAATTAATACTGCTATTATAAACATATATACGTGTGTGTGTGTGCGTGTGTGTGTGTGTGTGTGTGTATACTACAGTTCAAAGGTTTGAGGCAACCCCTGGTAATTTTCTATTGGCCCAAAAAGGTAATTCTTATACATGTTTAAAGAAAAGTGAGACATGATTTTTTATTAGAGATTTTATTGTGACGAAAAGAAAACCAAAAAATTTTATGATTAAATTTTGCTCTCATCAAAATATCCTCCTTATGCCTTGATTACTGCAGCACAAATTTTTGGCATTCGCTGCAAAAGTTTCTCAAGGTATAAATTTGATAACTGATTCCATTCTTTTTTCAATGACGTCTTTTTCAATTTTTTTTTCACTCTTCTGTCAAGTTCATAACATGATAATTCTTGGGGTGGCTTCAAACATTTTAACTGTAGTATATATATATATATATATATGTGTGTGTGTGTGTGTGTGTGTGTGTGTGTGTGTGTGTGTGTATAGATTCTGGATGTATCCTTTGCTGAAATCTTAGTCATTACGTCAAGAGTTTTTTTTTTAAAATGAAATCTGTAATATCATTTTTCGGCAAATCAGTGGCAAATTTTAGACGAAGAATTAGAATGCCCATTTGTATATCCGAAAATTGTAATTTGAATAAATTTGTAATTATTTTTTTTATCTGTCATTTTTAGACTACTCACGTTTAGAAACTAATGTATTTCGTTTATTTTGTAAACTGTGGATTTGTTTAGTGCTTATATCATGGATCGATTGTTTTATTTTTCTCCATTCGTATTTAGTTCAATCGAACATCTTACCTAAATATGAATGTATAAAACTAGTGCTGTTTAAATATATTCAAAATATATCCTAATAAGAAAAAACTCAGGGAAAAAGAGGTGCTTGCAGACAACGTGCGTCTGCAGACTTAGCTTAGGAAGAAAGCGTCCGAGTATTTTGCGACAGTCTTTGTTGAAGAAGAGGTTTATTTAAGTCTACGGCTAGCTTCTTTCGACAATATTGATTCCTCTTAATGTTGCCGACCTCTTCTTCTGTAACCTGATGTCATTGTTCAGGGCTTGAGGGTTGAAGATGGCAACCTTGCGTCGGGCTGCCTGAATAAACTTGTGGAAGAACAAAAAAGAAGGATGGGATTTTTAATTTGGTGCTTATATAGCCAGTGTCACATGACTCTTACAGGGGCGATGATTGGTCCTTTTTTTTTTTCATTCAGCGTCTTCGTTTTATTCTGTACTTGGTTAATCTTATTTTCCGATTGTTTATTTTTTTTTTGTTTTTTTTTTAATTCCAAAGCATGAAGCGAAGCTAGGATTTTTTAGGTAATTTTATGACAGAAGGACAAAGGTAAAGAAGGAGAAATAGAGAGTGTGTGTGAGGGAAGGAAAAAGAGAAGGAGAAAATATATAGAGAGAGTGTGATAGAGAGACAGAGAGAAAAAAGAGATAAGGAAATGAAGAGAAGGTTATAAAGATAAAACAGAGAAATACAGAGTGATAGAAAGAGAAAGGCGGGAGTGAGTGATAGAATGAGAAGGGGAGATAAAGAGTAAGATAGAGAGAGTGATAGGGAGAAATAAAGTGATGGACAAAGAGAGAGAGTGAGAGATTCTTAGTATACACACTGAATAAGCTTTTCATTGAATTTTCGAGACAATTTTTAAAATTAGCGTTAATATTTTCTTATCACACACACACACACACAGATTAACACAAACGTGCGCGCGCACGCACACACACATACACAAGCGCACACGCACGCTCAGAGATGTTGAATGACGTGTTGAAATCGGCGAACCGGGTTCGAATCTTGATCGTTTCTTTACATCTCTATCTATAAAAGGCAGGATGTGTGTGTGTGTGCGTGTGTGTGTGTAACGAATGCACGGCTGCAATTTTCGACGGATTTGCAACAAATTTTACATGCACACGCTCCAAGTAGGCGGGAAGGCCAAGACCGACTTTGCATTTCCCAACTCCCATCGATAGTGGAAATAATCGATTTTTTTTATGCTTCTACAGCAGTTTTAATGTAGTTTGCGGCCATTTTCTACTGGACAGAATGAGAGGCTATAGCTGGCTGCCACGAATAGGCAGGAAGATTCTACTGGCCAGCGTGAGAGCCAACAGCTGACCGACACGAATATTAACTAGCATGCGAAAAAAAATCGATAGCTGCATTCGTCACAAGTGGGAAAAATTGAAATCTGCATGGCACTTTACTCCAATTGGCTCATTCGCTTGCTTAAACTCAACGTTGATTCTGATTCCGCAGAACTGGGTTGGGTGTGAAAAAGTATTTGTTGTTAACATTCTTTTTTCATTCGGTTTTTGCAGTTACGAGTCCTTTTTAAAGCTGATCGTTTTGTGTTCATTTTGTTTAGTTCTTTTTTCGTAACAGATTTAATGTTTAGTATAGAGCTTAGAAAAAATTCGCAGTGTGAGATAGGCAAGAAGTAAGGCATGTAGCAACATCAGCACAGCAAAGCGCACTCCTTTAAAGTCAAGGAAGGGCAAAAATATTTTAAGTCAAGTGATAGCGATTGCTGTATGAGTCGTACGATTTTTTAATCAAGCACGGGCAACGCCGGGCCTTGCTGCTAGTTCACTATAAATTAATAGCCTAAAAAATGTAATCCGCTTGTGCATGCCACGCGAACTAATTAGAACTCTTTGACAACTTTATACACCCATGCGGTCAAACGAGACAGGGTCCTGACCAACGAATTCTAAAAAAAATTCTAAAATCCCCAGAACCACTCGTTTCTGCGCACGTGTAGTCATACCAACATGACAAATTTAGTCCGATGAAGTCCTGAAGTACGAAACTTTTTCCACTTTGTCATGCAATTTGCCCAATATTGTTCTTGATATATAAAAATATATACCGTTATCACACACACACACACACATATATATATATATATATATATATATATATATATATATATATATATATATATATATATATATATATATATATATATATATATTAGTAAAAACATCCAGAATTACCTCATGTGGGTATATTTGATATTAATAGGATCCACCTGGATTATATACCACTGATTTATAACCTGTACTATATATATATATATATATATATATATATATATATATATATATATATATATATATATATATATATAATATAAACAATATAAAACAATACTATAAACTAAACAATTAAGATAACCAACATCTTCAATAAATAAATAAATTAAATAGTAAACAAATTAATATATTACGACTGCACGCATAAACATAAGTAAATTTAATAATAATTATAATTATAATAATTAACAACAAAATAATTAATGATTAAAAACAAAATATCCTAAGTAATCAATAAAATATAAGGAGTCAAAAGTTAAAAAAACAATACTATACAATAGCTACAAATAACGACATTAGGATTTACTATTAGTTCTATCCAGTATCCTATAGAATGAGTTTCAAATTAACCATTACCGTCTATCCAATAAGCGGTAGGATAATGCAATAAACGTGAAAAAAAGCTTACCTTGCTACTCTTAATGCGCCATTGACCAGCATATATAAATAGTTGAGCTACCACACAACACATATGGCGTGAAGATTATGACCAAGCATGAAACAAGCTGTCATCATTCGCTGTTGAACTCGGTGACCAAGTTTATATTTAGATACGCTCTACCCCTGATATTGGGAACTTTTAACTATAAATATAGCATACCATAAAACTATATATATATATATATATATATATATATATATATATATATATATATATATGTGTGTGTGTGTGTGTGTGTGTGTGTGTGTGTGTGTGTGTGTGTTCCAAAAATATGTATGTGTGTACATATATATATATATATATATGTACACAAAGCACACAGACACACACACATATATAGATATATATATACAGATATGTATGTTCCAATGTCAAATATATTTGTGTGTATGTATATATATATATATATATATATATATATATATATATATATATATATATATGCACACAGAAGTACACACACACACACACACACACATATATATATATATATATATATATATATATATATATATATATATATATATATATATTGCTATTGATTTTAAATATCCAAGTATGCTCTTTATGTTATAGAAAATTGATGACAAGAAAATCCAGTAATATTCTGGCATAGTTTTTTGTATATATATATATATATATATATATATATATATATATATATATATATATATATATATATATCAGTCTGTTCATATCTATCAATTTATTGCATATCTATCTAGTCATATCTATCTAGCTAGCTCATTCTGGTCATATCTATCTATCTATCTATCTATCTATCTATCTATCTATCTATCTATCTATTGTACTTAAGCAGCAATTGCTTCTTCAAACATGTCTCATTAAATAGTATAAACATTTTATTTTGCCTATTGAGTTGGTCCATTTTCCTCTCGAAATTACACATTCTCCTTCTTAAAAACTGCAGAACAATCCTTTCCTATCTCACACCCTCTTTCTTTCACCCTCTTTTACACACACACACGCACGCGCACATACACACACACACGTGCGTGTGTATGCGCGCGTGCGTGTGAATTTCAAGTTGAAACACTAGTTCTTGTCCGATCACCGAACTTAAGCAACGTCATACCTGGTTAGTACCTGGATGGGCAATCACTTGGGAATACCAGGTGCTGTAAGCGTAGATGTGCAGCTGATACAATGGACAGCCGCTGCGTATGAGAAGTCGGAATGTCGAGTTCGAATTCCAGTCGAGTTCGTTACATAAACTTACGCGGAAATACCTTTGAGTTGAGTTAATATCAGGGACAGGGCTTTTCTAGATATAAATAGAAATTCCGACCGTAGGGAGTCAACATGAAATATGAATCCTTCACTTCTCCACCGCCACCAGTTAAGAGGAGAAGAAAAGATGGATAAAATTTATAAACAACAGGACAGACTGGGCCATATACGTTTGGTTTGACAACCAGTCGCGGAGATGGAAAACTCTCAATTCAAATCCAGTCTGGAGAGGGATGGCGCAATTTGGATGAGCTTCTTATAGAAACAAACGGCCACGGCACAGATAAGGAATGGAAAACTCCTATTCAAAAATAAGCCTGTAATTGTAGCATCATCTGAATTGTGGCACGCAGGACACCAGTACAGAACATGGTGCTATGATGGAGATCATGTACATTGCAGGGCACAACAGTTGACCATTTTAAACAATTCACTTGTGCAGATTGTTCGTTAAAAAAAACCCCAAAAACATTAGAATTTAATGAACCCTTTTCCCACGGATGAAATGTTGCCAGCCTCTCGCTGCTCTGTTGCTACTTCCTTAGTATGTGTTCTGACGAGCTACATTCCTTGGTGCCACCAACCCTTACCTTTGCAACTGGGACCCCCATGCCACGTACACAAGCGTGAATCATCCCCATTCCCTTCGCAATCCATTAATAAGAAGTAAGTTCCACTTGGGCATCTTCTTGCCAAGAACTGTTACTTTGTGGGACAGATTCTCGAAAACATTTCCCGGTCATTAAAATCTTGACCTCGTCAAGTCAAGGGTTAATCGTTATCTTTATTGCATAACCCCATGAACTTCTTGCTTTTTCTTACACTCATACGGTACTACTCAGTAACCCTCTACCTTGAGTGGCTCTTGTGCTTAAGTGAACATAACTATAAAAAATAACCCTCACCCGCCGTTCTCAACGATATAATCCACCCATATACAGGAACAGTAGGGCACCTCGGCGTGGTGTAATGGTTAGATCAGTTACGACTGAAAAGTGAGTTGGATCCTCACTAAGTGCTCTATACTTTCGGCCTTGTGCCACATCTAAACTACGCTTAGAAATAGTCATATATAAGAACAGTATTGTCACAGAAATGAAAATTTCATGTTGACTCCCTACGGTCGGAATTTCTATTTATATCTAGAAAAGCCCTGTCCCTGATATTAAGAGCTCGCTTTCCTATAAATATAGAACATTTAAGCGATAGTATTATAGATATATGTGTGTCGATGCGTGTATGTGTGTCTGCGCGCGTACGCATTAGGTTGTGCATAGTAAGGCGACAGATATATTTTTGCCTTAATTAGATACGGATCCATGGACACATTTGCAAGCATGGTTAGATGTATATTGTTAATGTATATGAATAAACATATTCACATTTATTTTACACATATGATTACATATGTACGTACATATATATATATATATATATATATATATATATATATATATATATATATATATATATAGAGAGAGAGAGAGAGAGAGAGAGAGAGAGAGAGGAAGTGAACAGATTGAGATAGATAGATAGATAGATAGATAATTTCGTGTGACTGAAATAACTACGTATTTTTCTCCGACATAAATGATAGGTGTTTGATCCATATATATATATATATATATATATATATATATATATATATATATATATATATATATATATATCAGTAACAACAGTGTCTGAAATGTTGCTCTTTCATGGAAGGCTATCTCATCATATTTAGGGATTTTCGCAATTTCTTTTCATTTGGTCTGGCTCTGATTTTAACTATGCTTATTTTTTCGTAAACCGCGCTTTCTCATATATATATATATATATATATATATATATATATATATATATATTATTTCAATTAATATTATAGTGAATACTTCTATTCGTATTTGAAATGGACGCCCCATTTTGATTTATACTTTAAACAGTCTGTATTACATCTATCGCCCCGCGTATTCGAGAACTTTCGGTTTAAGTTTTCTTGAATACGTAGACCGATGGTCATAATACACATTCTTTAAAATAATGATGCAAATATGGCGTCTATTTCAAATAGGAATATCCACTATAACAACATTTGAATAATAAAAATGTCGGATCAAAATAAATTAATTGTGTTTTTATAAACATATATATATATATATATATATATATATAATTCAGTTTTGAAAAAATTCAACCGACAAAGTTTGTGTTTTTTTTTATTATATTTACCAATTTCTGAATATTTTGTACATCGAAATCAAAATATACGATGTGTGTGTGTGCGCGCGCGCGTGCGGGTGTGTGTATCTGTGTGTGCGTGCTCGTGTGAATGTTCACAAACCCTTTCTTGTATTCTATGTAGAAAACGTTAGTAGAATATGCAAAACACAAATTTACAGACCCATTTTTATCCTATCAAATATATCAACGGGACCAAAACGAGTTGGCAAACTCTCTGACGCCTAAATGACACGAACATGTACAGGTGAGCTCATTTTCTGATTAAAAAAAAAAAAATAAATAAATAAAAAATACAAAAATTGGAAAACTCTACTGAAACTGACTTTGGTATTCACGAAATGACTACAGACTTTTTGCATTGACGTCACCAGCAGCCAATGACGTCATCATCAGCAACCTATGACGTCCTCTTTAACATGTGATTATCTCAGTTACGTCGAGACCTCTGCCGCCATAATAAAAGACCCGATTCCAAAACTGGAAATTACAAATCTATCTATCAACTGATGAAACCTTTCACAAAGTGGTTGATAATAATTGATAGTTTTAAAATTTGGAACCGAATTTTACCTTTTTACCAAAGTAATTCATTGACCTCCGTGACCCTTGTGATTCCTCTAAATTTCTTTACGAACTCTTTTTACGGCAATAGAAAAAAGACATATTTTAATTTGTATTCGGATCGAATGTCTTCGCTGTTAAAATCTTTACCTTTTCCAGTCTTATATATATTTCTATATATGTTGTTTTTTTTTATTACTTAAAACGTTATTCTTTTTTAGTGGATACGCGTGTTTGAAATAGACGTCCCGAAGTCTTAATAAAGAAAATGTACTCCCCGGCTGTGAAATTTGCTGGGCTGTGATACTCTCTGTAGCCGAGCGAACAAAAGTACGTCGGATCAATACGGTGGTTTCTTCTGCAAAGGGAGATTCAGGTTCATGCCATCCTGGAGAGCACATTTTCTTTATTAAGAAGTACGCCGACACATAAGCGTAATACAATACGTTTAAAATAAGATAATAAAAAACAGTGCGTCTATTTCAAACACGGGTATCCACTAAAATAACGTTTGAGGCAATAAAAGTGTCGAATTAAAGATAAATCCATGAATTCTTTAGAAATATATATGGTTTATATTATAACACTTGTATAATATGCCATAAACTCTGTAATAATACTATATTGCTTGAATACTGTTATATTATTATTCTGTTATTATTAATTAGATAATTTATTTTGGGATGATTTATCAGTGTGCAAGTGAGAATTGTAATTATAAATTTATTATACATGATTAAATGTATCAATATCACTATCTGACAAAAAGCAAGAGACGTGATTTTAAGGAATGTCTTTGCAGGGGTATTTATTATCAATTCGCAAATACTGCATTATAATTTTACTCAAGCAATTCATTTCACCTGTAGACGACAGTCTAATAATGTGTAAAAACAAAAGGATTTTTTTATTTGCCAAGACGTTTCGTCCCCTGAGGAACTTTAAAGTTGCAAAATAAAATGTCTATCTTGATAAAATCTCTCGAGGGATGAAAGAAAAGTTTTCAATATATATATATATATATATATATATATATATATATATATTAAAAGAATGTTACATACGGACAAACAAGTACTCACGACAAAGAGGCATTTTTGTTTCGATGCGAATGCATTTCGACAGGTGAGGAACAAAGATGGTTATAAACGATTCTATTTAAAAACAAAAATTAAATAGAATCGTTTATAACCGTCTTTGTTCCTTACCTGTCGAGATGCATTCGCATCGAAACAAAATGCATCTTTTGTCATGAGTACTTGTTTGTCCATATGTAGCTTTTTATAATAAATAACAATTGCTCTACTCTTGGTATTGAGCACTCTTTTTAAATTAATGCTCTGAACCTTTGAATTTATATTCTTTTCGTTTTCATTACATTTGCATATATATATATATATATATATATATATATATATATATATATATATATATATATATATATGTGAGAAAATTCAGAAAATAAAAAATATAAATATATAAAGATAAAAAAAAAACTTTCCTTTACCAGCGTTTTTCGTCCTTTGGGGAACTTTAAAGTTACAAAATAAAATTTCTACATTTACCTTGATAGAGTCACCAGGGAACGTAACGCCCAAGTAAAGAATAGTTTTCCGTTTGTTTTTTTATATATATATATATATATATATATATATATATATATATATATATATATATATATATATATACATACTACACGTATATACGTACACACACGCACGTACAAAAGAAAAAAACGCTACCTAATACCAATAAAAAGCGCCTAAAATATTTTTTAACTTAATATAAGAGTAACGAAAATGAGAAAGAATCGTTGATACCCCCTGGCGAGTGGACCGAACGGTTACAAAAAAATTCGTCTACGAATGTCTCGAGTCGCAGTGCTAAATATAACACCATATAGTTAAATGACAAATTTTAGATTTGTATTAGTTCTATACACACACACACACACACACACACACACACACACACATATATATATATATATACTTTCAAAAACTCAAGGTTAGTGTTCTAATTATTTTATACCTTACACACACAAACATATATATATATATATATATATATATATATATATATATATATATATATATATATATATATATATATATATATATATTACTTCAAGCGCAATTATAGTGGATACTCATATTTAAAACAAACGCCCAATTTTTATTTTTTTATCTTAAACAATCTATATGACATCTCTGCATTTAACTCGATAAAGTCCCTCATGTACGTTAGTAAAAAAAAAGTTTCTGTTTTTTTTATTTATTCATATTGTCGTTATATATATATATATATATATATATATATATATATATATATATATAGTTATACCTGAACTTTTACACACACTCAAACACACACACACATACACATATCTTACATCGATTGCACAACTCGGAGTTTCATATGTTCTGCATTTGTCAGGTGCATTTTTGGGGGTCAACACCACCTCTATAATATTTCTGTTTATCGCAAGATATTTTATTGTAGAGGTGGATTATTATTTTTGCTAAAATATTGAAATGAATTGCAGTCTAATTTTGGATTTGAATTTAGGCCCAGATTAGCATTTAAGACTTAAAATAAAGTTGAAAATATATACAGTAATAGTAGATGGTACCCTCCAAAAAAATTTAAAAATATTAAAGAAATAAACTTATTTCTTTTTACTTTTAACCATGGTCGAAATGCAAAATTGACCATTTTCATTTTTGTTGAGTTCTGTTTCAGTAACAAAAAAAGATAAAAACAGACACTGAACACTTTTTTTTAAAAAACTTTTTATTCTGTCGTCCGAATATTAAGTAATTTTGTTAATCCTGTCGTCGAATGAATGTCATTTGTCTCCGAATTGTCATGTGAACAAAATTGTGATGAAAATTTCCTCTCGAATGTTTTTCTTTACTTTTTTTCCTGTTCTTTTTTGTTTTACTTTGTAAAATAACATCCTGAAAATGTGGAAGTCTAAGCGAAAATAGTAATCCTTCGTTTTCTCTTGAAAAAAAGAAAAGGTGTATAAATGTTTGAAAAGAATGAAAGATAGAAAGAGAGAAAGAAAGAGAAAATATAGAAATAAAGAGAATAAAGAAAGAAAGAAAGAATAAAGAAAGCACAAGGAAAAATAAAATGAAAAAAGAAAGAGAATAATAACGAAAGAAAGAAATATTGAAAGAAAGAAAGAAACAGTGAGAGAAGGAACGAAAAAGAAAGAAAGAGAAAATATAGAAAAACGAGAATAATGAAGAAAGAAAGAAAAAAGAAAGCGAATAATAACCGAATGAAGAAAGAAAGAAAGAAAAAGAGAAAAATAATGAAAGAAAAAGACATAATTGAATGAAAAAGAAATCTGATATTTGCAACTCTTTTTCCTGTTTATGGATTCGACATCTGTTTTTGTTGTTTGTCAAAATATTTGCATTTGCAGCCTTCGAAAAGCCCAACACAATTTATCCAGGGGACTAGAGATCTAATCTTCCGGCAGTATCTCTCCATTGCACTAAGAGAGGTAGCATCAGGGGCATGCCGAACATTCAGTATGGACTCTTAAGAAAACGTGCAGCGTCTTCGACTACAAAATTTAATACCTGAGGAAAGCCGGAGAGTTGAACGGATTTATGTTACTTTAAGAAGACATTGATGAGATCGATTAGAATTACTCTTGGTAGAATGAAGCTATTTCTATTCAAAATGGAAGGTGGATAAAACTAAACATGCATATGCAGGGATAATGGGAAAATATGACGCAAAACAAAGAAAGAAAGTAAATCTGATAGAATGAAAGAAAATAAAACAGAATGAACATGGTAAAAAAAGAAAAAAACATGGTTGAAACAAAGAAAAAAGAAAGAAAGAAAGAACATATACTAGAAAGAAATGGAGAAATAAGAAAACAGTAGAAATAAATCAAGAAAAGAACAAATGGTAAAACCAAAGAAGAAAGAAAGAAAGAAAGAAAGAAAGAAAGAAAGAAAGAAAGAAAGAAAACCAGAAAGTAAGAAAGAAAGAAAAATGATAGAAAGAAAGAAAATAAAAAAGAAAGAAAAACATGGTTGAAAGAAAGAAAGAAAGAAAGAAAGAAAGAAAGAAAGAAAATAAAAAAGAATGAACATGGTAAAAAGAAAGAAAAAATGCTTGAAAAAAAAAAGAAAGAAAGTAAGAACGATGATAGAAAGAAGAAAATAAAAAAAGAATTAGTATGATAAAAAGAAATAAAAAACATGGTTGGAAGAAAGAAAAAAAGAAAGAATGATAGAAAGAACATAGTAAAAAAAGAAAGAAAGAAAGAAAGAATGGTGAGGATAATGAAACCGAGGAGAATAAAAAGAGAATGAAAAAGCTATAAAGTCGATTGAGAGATAACTGTGGTTACGTTTGAGTGAATGACCGATAATATTGATAAAGCAACAATTTTGCTAAAATCAGAACAATTACAAATCAAAGTCAATCACGCAAAGTCGAAAACACACAAATAAAAATATAAAATAATAAAATTTAACATTATCAATTTTTTGACGAGTTTTTCTTTGCATCTTACTTTTTGTTACATTTGTGTCACATTTCCGTTCATATTCTACGATTACAAAACAAGTAACAAGGATCAGAAATAAAAAATATACTATTTCGGACGAGATTTGAACTTGTATCCCGTATCTTTTGATGTCCGTTTGACATGGATAGTTTCTTAGCGATTAGATTGCCGTAAAAAGTAACAAGAATAAAACTGAATTAAAAAATAGTCAAAATTAATTAGCGACAATTAAAACTGACAATTGTCTAAGAAATTCAAACAAGATTTAAAACAAATTTTGATTAAGAAAATAAAGGTTAGTTTTTAACTTAATGAACCTTTTCGATTTGACGAATAAAACATGTACTATATAAGGAAAATTTTCCCAGATTTAATTTAATTTTATTTTTTTTCTATTTTTTAATGCTATGTCCCTTCAGGGCGTAGGCGATCCTGACTCTTCACAGCTTCCTTTTCTTTATTTTCTGCGAAGTGATATGACTCTGTAGTGAGTACGAAATAATAACTCAATTCACCCACTCCATTCAAATTTGGAAGACTGAGGAAGAAGAAGTAAAGAAATTCATGAGCGTAAGTGAAATTGTTTTGGACCAATGAAAACCTTGCCTTTCACAGAAATTAACCGGTGAGCTGACAAGAAGAAAACAATTTCTCGAAAGCTTTCTACTTTCTTTCCTTCTTCTTCTTGAATAAGTAGCTAATTTTTGTGAAGGCAAGGTTTTCATTGGTTCAAAACCATTTTGCTTTTCTTCTTCTTCCGCAGTCCTCCTAATTTGAAGGGGATGGGTGAAGGGAGTTATTTCGCACTCACTACAAATCTTATGTAAAGATAGTGAAGTAAATTCCTATTGTTTTCTTAACGGTTTGGAAATTCAGAATTTTTCTTCTTTTAGTCTAGTTGTCACCCAAAGCTAGAATGCCTAGTCTATTCAACTATTTAGCCCATAGTTGTAGGTGGGAGAGGGAGGACGAATTCATGCCTTTCATAGGGGCATTTTTGCATAAGTGAACACAAATAAATCCCAGGGTGGTCCGAAATTCTTGTTACCACTATATAATATAATTTTCTAATTCAGATGGCTGACGCGAAAATGATGGTGTTCATACAGACCTTCTCGATGTGTGACAACGTCAATGGAAATGAATAAGCTGAATCTAGTACATGTGCTTTGTATTACTTGTTGTTCTATTGTTAGCATTACTTTTTGGTAGGGATAACAAGATTTTCGGGCCACCCTGTAGGACAGTTATGGGCAAACTGGTCTTTCTGAATGACACGCTTAATTTCATAAGGAAAATAACGTTTCTTAAACTTTTATTTCGTTTCATTCTCACTTGTTCTCTTACACACTCTCTCATACATAACCAGGAATGATTAAGTACAATGTTTATTGAATTTTATAAACTGTTGGTGAAAATAACAGTTTTATCATTTTAAAACATTGGTAATTTTCACTGAGGAAGATCATATATGTAAACACCTTTTGTTTTTGAAACCAGAAAAATATGTTTTTATTTTCAAATGAAAAAACAGAAATAAATCCCACGCAACGGGATGTGTTAATCACATTGTCATCAGTGATGATATTATACCAAGACTTCAATTGTTTAATCATAGAAAAATCTTTTCTCCAAAGAAAACAAAAAAAATCAACTTTCACCTATTTTAAAGGTATATATATATATGGTCTTCCGTAACGAAAATAGTTGAAGTACAGACTAGAAAAATTAAATTGAATCTTTTTAGTAGAACGGCCCGCCTTGTGATCATGTGGCCAACTGCTCGAAAAGAGTTGCCCATGCCTGGTGTAGGGCTTGTAGCGGACCGTGGTTTTACGTGTTGTTAAATTAGAAACACGTGTGTAACTCCTGACAGAAATTTAAAAGGTCCACTACAAGAATATGGTGGACTCAAGTTGAGTCTAACCGAAAATGTAAAGAGAACAAACAAGACCGATATATTTATATATATATATATATATATATATATATATATATATATATATATATATATATATGTATTAAACAACAACATTTACAATGGACAAAGACATCAACATTTGTGTATGTGCGTGAACGTAAAGAGTTTGTATTTTGGTGAATGTTCGTACGTACGTGTATGTGTGTGTTTTTCATGGCGTTTTCCTACAAGCAAAACGCAGATCTCTGCGAGAGATCACATTTTTAAATGTGTCCGCTGAAACGCAAAGTAAAAAAGAGAACGAGGCAATAAATCGCCCAATATTTATAGTATAGTGAACAATTTGGGTAATTAAGGAGGAGTTAACTCAGACAAGCTTATTTAATCCACTTAAATTATTTAATTTTGGTAAATAGTAATAATATGAATGACAAAGAGCAATAGAAACGACACCATCCCTACTCTCTCATCCTTTCACTTGATTATTATTATTATTATTATTATGAAGTGAGAGAGAAGCTCGCCAACAAAGCTGTACAAATATACAAAATCCATATGTCGTGCTACACTATCGCCAGAATTTATTTACAAGCCTACCATTCGTCCATGCTTAGAATATTGATGCCACATTTGGTTTCGTGCTCCTGCTATATATTTAGAGATTCGTGTTTAAATCCAAAGATGAATCTGCAATGTTACTAGTCCTGAGCTGGCATCTGGATTTCAGTTACTTTCCCACCGCCGTAAAATTGCTTCTCTCTGCCTTTTTTTTTTATAAATACTTTCATGATAATTGTTCTGATGAACTTTCCTCTTTGGAAAATTGGGGATTCAGTTTTAAAAGTTGTTATTTTTATTCCCCCTCACCCAAAGACAAATTGTACTGTGACACCCACCGGTTGTCGTGGTCGCGGTCGCAGTCCAGCGCCAATATGTGACGTCCACTAGTCGCGACGTCAATATATGACACTGCACCGTCGGCCCGAGGTCAACTCCCAGTTGCAGCGCGAAGCTGTAAGGTTTCTTCCATCAGCGTTTTGGGGTTGACTGCTTGTCGCTCCCACCAGCCTGTGTCCCGGTCGATCTGGTCGTTTCCGGTTCGATACCAGCTTTGTCGTTCTCGCTCGCTTTCAACGCTTGGTCACCGAAGTAACTGCTTTGATCTCAAGTCTAACCTACCCACGTTGTGACATCTTAAGTCGTTCGTCCTGAGCTGACATCTGGATTTCAGTTACTTTCCCACCGCCGTAAAATTGCTCCTCTCTGACATTTTTTTTAATACTTTCATGGTAATTGTTCTGATGAACTTTCCTCTTTGGAAAATTGGGGATTCAGTTTTAAAAGTTGTTATTTTTATTCCCCATCACCCAAAGACAAATTGTACATACTAGGACTAGTTAAGCCTTCATAGAGACACAGAGGTATTAGAGTGGCTGTAGTAAGATTGGTAAGTATGAATGTGTTGTTTTAGTGTAAAGAATACTTTTTAGGTCAGTAATTGTAGCTGGATAATATCGGTCTATATCTCTGAGATGAGGTTTTATGATCACGTGTATTATTTACATTATTCAGACTTTTATCCTCATCTTCATTGCCATATTCACAACGTTTCGGTCGTTGTACTCTCCGGCCTTCTTCAGGTGAGCTGAGTTAAAGGAAAATAACTGAGACATCTGGAAGAGGCATGGCACGTGGAATTAGAACAATCTACTCCGGTGGACAAAATAAAGGGTTCGGTCGAAATTCCAATCAGCTGAAGAAGGCTGGAGCGTACAACGGCCGAAACGTTGTGAATATGGCAATGAAGATGGGGCTAACAGTCCGAATAATGTAAATAATACAAGTGGCTGGCTAAATTTAAGATAAGACAGATTGAAAACCAACCTTCCTCTACCCCCCTTTTGACCTTGTGCCACATTTTTGTGTTTTCAAAATAAAATTTACTTTCTTCATAGTTTATGAGTGTAAGCGCAGTACTAGATTGGCGGCAAGGTCCCATCAATTTACAGTTGAAATGGCTAGATGTAACCGTAAGTTCTATGCTAACAGTTTCTCTCTCACACTTCTCGCTTGTGGAATGTTTTTGCAGGTTATCTTTCCCAGTCAACTTTGATCTTCAAAATGTTAAATGCAATGTCAACTGTTATCTTCTGTTTTCTTAATTCTTGTTCTTATATTGTTCACTCGCCTTAATAGTACAATGGCTTTATTTCCTTGCTTGGGATGAAATAATTTTTTAAATAGCCCCATATTCTCTTCATAACTGCCAGTCTGATAATGATATGCCAGACATATGTATGACGTGTGCGCAAAATAAGATGACAGGTTTTGATAAAAGCAGGCTCATCATCTCGTATGTGTTATCTAATAGTAAATATCTTCAAGTCGAGTAATCCAGTCCGTTCGGACGTTCTCCGATAGAGGGCGTTCCAGAGTAAATCAGATGTGACTCCCAGGTTACCTTGGCTGCCTCATCCATCAAAGTTAAGAAAAAAAAGAAAAGAAAAAAAGACAAAAAACATTCTTGCTTCCCGGTCATGATACTCTCTCACTACTCCTGTGTGTGAACAGATATACACAGCAAGTCAGCCCTTCGATGACATGGCGAACGACTTATGGTCAGACAACTGACAAGCAAATATGTGGAAATGAACATTATATTTATTGTAGCCCATCTTAATTCACAAAGACACACCATGTATATTTAACACCTTCAAATAAGATCAAAAATACTACGACTACTACTACTACTACTACTACTAATAATAATAATAATTATTATTATTATTTCTTCTCCTTTTGATTTCTGTTGTATACACATTCCCTTCAGGGTCCCAACTAGAGACCTAAGGTAAGAAATAGCTTCAGGGCATTTTCCACTGATCAC